AGTTAGACACCTAAATACCTTTGGTCTCTACGAGGATTTTCAAATGTGCTTAGATGCCCCACTGGCAGAGTTAGGGAGAGGGGCAATGCGTCGGCTCTAGGCACCAGCAAACCAAGCATGTGCTTGGGGTAGCATTCCGGCAGTCCTTTTTTTTTTTTGCTTTGCGCTCTCTGAAGTTTTTTTGTTTTGTTTATGTTTTTTGCTTGGGGCGGCAAAAAACCTAGATCCGGCTCTGAATAGAGATCTCCTCTATAGAAAAGATATAATCTCCCCTCCCCCCCTGCGTTAATAGGCGCGAACAACCCAAGACCAGCTGGGATTTTAAGGCTGTTGATTTCTGGGCCACCCAGCGCTTCATTCCTAAGCATTCTCTTAGGATAACCCATCACCAAAATCAGTCCTCATTACTCAACGGAGGGATTTGCTTTTGACTAAAGCCTTTTCCCCAGTTAATGTCCATTTACGTAGGGGGAGGGGTTGGATTCTAAAAGCAATGTAGGTGACTTGGTTGCTGAAAGTTCCCTCAAGTTGATGGTCTATTCTCTGTATGGACCTTCTTTTCTCTCCCCTCCCCAGTTCTCCTGTTGGGCACTTGATGCTATTGAATGGCTTCGCCTGCCTCTGATATTAAGTGAAATCTAGGACTATTACAAGGAGTTTAACACTAATGAGCATTCTTGGGGTGGTTGGCCAACAGCACTCATCCATCTAAAGTCCTTTCAGTGACTGCAAAGCTCTGATTACATCAGGGCTTTCACCAAGGAAACGCACACAGACACACTGAATCTGAAATCCTGCTCCCGAATCCAAGACCACATCACTAGCACGTCTGCTGGTGGCTTGCAATAAAGGAGCTCCTTATGTGGAGTCAGATTTGCAAGGGGCTCCGGCCCAGGTCCTCAAAGGTATTTAGGTGCCATTTTCAATGAGAGTTAGGTACCTAAATACCGTTGCCCCTTTTTGACCCGAGCTGCTAGTTAGATTTGAAGGCCCTGGTGGGGATGTTCCAGTGGAAATAGAAATTGATGGAGTCTGTTAGCATCAAAGAAAATATCTCTTTTGCCTACAAGGAACGAGCAAAGTCCTGCTTCTCTGAATGCAGGAGGAGCCAGGAACAAAAGGAGCGGCTTTTTGTCTCATAGCCCCAAGTTTCTTTAGCCAACAGACCCAAAGTTCTCATGCCAGCTTTTTCCAAGGTCACGTCTACAGTGCAAAGAGAAACCTGCAACACAGGGCTCTCTCAACACTGGTTTGGTAACTCCCTTCTCTTCATGTGTCAGTATATAATGCCTGCAGCTGTAATTTTCACTCCATGCATCTGCAGAAGTGGGTTTTTTTACCCACGAAAGCTTTTGCCCAAATAAATCTGTTAGTCTTTAAGGTGCCACCGGACTCCTTGTTGGTTTTGTGGATACGGACTAACATGGCTACCCCCTGATACTTAACTTTAAGCCGGAGAGTAGCCCTATTGAAGCCAATGGGGTTATTCATAAATTTTTAAAGGCAGAAGGGAGCGGTATGGTTGTCTCGTCTGACTTCCTGCACAGCACTGTAGGACTTGCCTGGATTAATTCCTGCGTCAAGTGGTCACCCGCTGAAAGTTTAGCCTGGATTTTTCTGTGGGATTGAAGACTTGGCTCACAAGAGCTGCTAAACTCCCTGGCAAATCAGGCCCTTCCTTAGGTGGCTTTAAATGAGCCGAGGGATCTTGAACTACTCACCCCTGAGCGCTGCGGCACCCCAGGTTTGAGGTAATAGCAACCGAACGACTGCACGGCTTCCATCCTAGACACTGCGGACAGCTTTGTTCAGTAGCTTTCAGCGCCTCCAGCCCTGTGTGAATTCTGGATCAAGCTCCCAGCGACACACATCTGATAATGAGGCGCTGGCTAAGCAGGGGACTTTTCCCCTCCTATGATCAACTGTGCTGGATGCATTTCTGGGAAAAAAAGAGAACCTAGCCTCTTGGTTGGACTCCGAAGCCCTGCTGTCCTGCAGAGAGGTCAGATGCGTGCAGGAAAGGGAACTCAAATGGCTCTTATATACTCTTTAATGGAGGAGGACAGGGACCAAGTTGTTTATAATGTAGCTCTTTGCTAGGCTAATCTTTGATCATCTGCCCCCTCCACTCCCCCACCAGCTAAGGCTGATGAATATCCGAGTTCCTTTGCTGCCACGTCCCAAGGACAAAGCGATTCGCCGGAGAGACTTGTGGTGGAAGGAGAGTCCAGAGCTGAAAGCGAGTAACCCCCTCGGCTTGAGCTCAGAGAGGGGAAGTGGCTACAGTTTTACTGGGGAAGGTTGGTTCCCAGATGCATTCATGTCAGGGACGGGGCCATCTAGCTTTAAAAAAATGGACTAGATCCCCCCTGGCCCCACAGTGATTTATGACTCCTTGTATTGGTGAGGACACTATGGTTTGTCACTGTCTGGCAAACGGGGGGAGAAGGCAGCAGAGGGAACAAAACTGATTTTTAAAAATAATCTTTCATTGGGAAAAGATGGGTGGAGGGGTTCCCCCCCCCAAAAAAAAAGTTAGCGGAGGAGGGTGGTCTTGTGGCTAAAGCACTAGAGGAACCTGGTGATCTGGGTTACATTTTCTGCTTTGCCTGGGAGAGTCACTTTTGTGATTTCAGTGGGCGGCAGGTACCGAAATGGCTTGGAGGATCTGGGCCTTACATACTAGGGTCATGACAGCAGCAGAGAAATAGACTAGCCCAGATCTTTTTGGATTTAACAAATAAATGTCCTTAAATCTACTTAGGCTTTGTCTAGACAAGGAAAAGCGATCAAGTTTAGGCCAGGTTTAGCCAGCTTGTGGTGACTAAGTCCAGCATGTAATAATACCTAGGTCTTGCGTAGCACGTTTCATCTGTAGATCTCAAAGCATTTTACAAAGGGTCGTGAAGTTGTCGTTGGCATCATCAGCCACCATTATCCCCTTTTTACAGGTGAGGAAACCGAGGCACAGGGAGATGGCATGGCGTGTCCCAGGTCACCTGGTAGTGGCGACAGGAATAGACCCTCAGTCTCAAGTCCCAGTTTAGTGCTTTATCCACTGTGATGGACCCAGGCCAGTTGGGAACAGCAGAGTAGTAGAAGGCAGATATATTGGCCACTGGATAAGCAGTTTTCTGTTCCCTGACTGACCAGAGCAGGGGCTGCTCCAGGCTAATGAGAACACCTGACTCCAATTAACCTGCAAAGAGTCAGGTGAGGCTGTTAAGCACCTGACTCTAATTAAGGCCTCTCTGATGCTACAAAAGGGCTCACTCCAGTCTGGCCAAAGAGAGCCAAGGGAGAGGAAGTGCGGCTGAAGGGCTGGGTAATGAAGACACCCTGAAACCACTGGAAAGGGAGCCATAAGGTTAGGGTGAAGAAGGCGTTGAGAGATTGAAGCGGGGGAGCTGTGGGGAAGTGGCCCAGGGAAATGGAGCAACTCTGGCGGTGAAAGGTCGGCTAGCAACAGCGGCTGCCATTAGGATCCCAGGGTAGAACCTGGAGTAGAGGGCGGGCCCGGGTTCCCCCCAACCTACTACTATAGAAACACCTCCTGGGAAGGGAAGGGAAGGGAAGGGAAGACAGGCCCCTGTCAGGACAGGAGACTCAGCTGTTCTTGAATTAGCCCGTAGGGACAACAGAGACATGGGGAGTTTGCTTACCAACTTCCGTGCTGGCATATGATGGAAAGGGCTCAGTGGACTGTACCCTGGCCCTAGAGAGAGAAGGGCTACGTGGAGGGTCGCAGTGAGCCTGAGGCTAGCATAAACCGCCTGGCAGCGCGGGACCCACGGGGACAAGGTCGGAGCTCTGCCACACCACTAACCCATCTTGCCTCCCTAAATAACCTTTTCCCTAGTTAAGACAAAGCCACTGAGCTCTGGCTTTGCAATGCTGAATAAAGGAGGGGTGATAAACCAGGTCAAAATGGCCATCAGAAAAGGGGAGAGCTTATTAACATGCTGAGCGGAAGGAGAGAACAGGGGTACACTTGGGAAGGGATGGATAGGGGAGACTCTCACTCACTCATGCCCGTCACCCCAATCGGGGTATGGGCCGCCAACCACAGATGTCCAGAGTCCTCTATCCTGGGCCATTTGCTCTAGCTGGTTCCAGGTATAGCCCATTTTTATGCTATCAGCCTGAAAGTCGCGTCGCCAGGTGTTTCTCCTCATCTCTGCTGCGACCTGCGCCATCTTTCTTAACTCGTGCGTGGTCCTCACGTTCCATGTACCGATGGCAATCCTCCTGGTTGCAAGAAGGGTAATCGGCTTTGTGGCTTCCTCAAGACTTTCACCACCCTGCGTCATGCGTCTTCGAGTTGAAGACCCTTCTTTTTCCAGGCGAAAAGTCTCCGTTATCTCTATTTTTGGCGTTTCTGTAGCAAGTTGATTTTTTTTACGGGGTGGAGTTGCTAGCCCCACGCCCAACCCTCCTCCTTTATCCTGACTTGGGACAGGCAGATGGCCCCAAAGGACCTCTCTGGTGGAGTTGGATAGGGAAGAGTGGCATTCTTATTTTTTTTTCTATTAGGGTGACCAGATGGTCCGATTTTATATGGACAGTCCTGATATTCAGGTCTTTTTCTTATATAGGTGCCTATTTCTCCCCACCCCCTGTCCTGATTTTTCACATATGCTATCAGGTCACCCTATTTTCTACTGACCTGGGAGGATGGGAGCGAGGGGTAACTTTAAGCACCTGAAGTGACTAAATCGTAAAAGAACATGAATGTGTCAAACCTCAGTGCATCTCAGATGCATGGGTGAAGTCTATATATAGACCAGGCTTAATGGATTGCACATGAGCGAGAGAGAGGCTGGATGGATGCTAGGTAGAAGACTAGGCAGGCTGATATACAGAGCAGATTGATGGAGGAAGGCTAGGATGGCAGATGGATATACACAGATCGATGGACAGGCTGGTAGATGGACATATATAGGCAGGATGAAAGGCTAGGCAGGCTGATGGCTAGATCTGCACGCACAGACAAGTTGAAGGACAATCTGCAGCATTTATTACATTTACAAAGCTGTATAGTTATACAAATGTTTAACCAATAACGATATATGAATATCCAAATATATTACTGGACATTAAAACATCATACAGGATGCAAACATACAGAGCAATTTGGTTTGTACCATATTGGGGGTGGGGAACCAAACCCCCCAATTGAGGCAGTGGAAGTGCCTCATTTAGTCCATTTTGGCCTATGTACAAGGAGAAGGGATACCAAAGTCCGTGAATATTTTCAACCCATGAAGCCCCGTGAAACACTATTGAGCTCGCAGTCCAGCCCCGGCCAATAGAAGGGGAAGAAACAGAAATGGGAAAGACTAATAGAACAATGGCAGCTTTGTGTGTCTTTCCCCTGCAGTCGACCTGAGTGCCTTCTCCTCCCATGAGACAATGGAGGGCAGAAGGGAGCCATCTTCAATACATGCAAATTGCCCCCGATTTCCCCACACACACACCTGCCCCCCATGACCCAACCGAAGATGCATTCTGCCCACTTTGGCTGCTTCCATGGGAAATTCGGATGGCCCACCTCCAAAAAAAAAAAAGTGTATCTTCGCCCATCAGATCCCTCATTCTTGCTGGGGATAACGTTCTCAAAGGTTTCTAAGAAGTTACGGTCCCAAGCCCCGCCTAATTCAGCGTTAACCAGTTCACCCTACGCTGAACTGCATATCACCGATTAATGCCTCCCGGTGGAGACCTCTCCCTACGCAGCATTCTGAGGAAGAAAGTCCTTTAACCGTAACCTACCCAGCTTCCTAGAGCCTGACCACGAATGACTTGCACAAAGGGCTCTCTGCTCAGGCCGGCTCGTCCCAGCAAAGACACCTCTCAGTTCTTTGGGAGAATACTTTAGTGTTTTGTTTTGAAATCCATGTTTGCTGACCTTTTGGAGTCAGGCTCTGTATACGCAGTTCCCTTCCCCACTCCTGTCGGTTTCAGCCTTCAGGATTTCCCCCCCCCCACTCTACCTGCGGCCCCTGCAGAGAAAACCCAGCTCCTTTCTAGCAGCTTGACTCTTTCCTGTCCCCTGCAGGAATTTTCCTGTTCCTGGGATCTGCAGGCATTTATTCATTCATGGTGGAATGAATTAATAAATAAATAAGGGGAATAAGCTTCTTGAGGCCCAAGAGAACATGTGCTTCTGAGAATGCAGCCACCCCTTCCCTTCCCCTTCTCCCCCACCCCATGCTCTCTCACTCACACTCACACCCCTACCTTAAAGGAAAAGTAGCACTGCGGCTTGGAAGGAAATCTTTAGCGGATGATGCAAGAGAATTCTCTGCAATGGGACCTGTGCGCTTCCCCTCCCCTGCATGGGGACAATTTCATAACACAAGATGTAAGCAAAATGCAGCACCACATACTAGAAAGCGACATGCCTTTTTAAAGAAAACACAGTAACCCCCCCCCCTTATTTTTATTTTTTTTACCCTGTCCCCTTCACAAATAAACCACCTTTCTAAAGGCACTGTATTTTTTTTTTAAATCCTGCATGAGGAGGATGAAGGGGAGATGGTGGGACAGGGTAGAACTAAAATGAAGCTTTGAAATGCTGAATTTAAACTTTTTAGCAAGCAAGGAGCTATTGAGGAAGAAGAAATGGAGAGCAGAGTGTTTGATGGGGAAAAAGTTCTTCGTTTTAGCATCATCTCTGGCCACCCCACCAAAAAAACCACACTCCTGGGAACCATCACCACCGTGGAAGGACTGAAATGGTGGTTTCCTGGGTGGGATGAGCCCTAACTCTCTTCCTTTCCCACCCAGTCAGGTTATTTCAAAGCTCATGAATGTTGAGGCTACGTGAAATGCTGCTATGGGTCCAATGAGTGAGCACTACCTGTTTTGAAGGTGGTATTTGTTATTTGAAGCCCCCATCCTGCAAAGTCTTAGAGTGGGATTTTCAAAAGAGCCCTTAATGACTAAGGAGCCCAGGAGAGGTTCCCAACTTCTGTTGACCTGAAGGGCTAGATCCCTTGGCCTCCTTTGGGGTTGGGGCGGGGGGGGGCAGGTAAATCAATGACTTGTGCTCTTAAATTGCCTAGATTCTCCTGAACATTCCACCCTTAAGGCATGTGCTTAATGAATGGAACGGCTTGGAGTGTGTCAAGTTAAGCACATGCTTAAATCTTTGCAGGATCGAAGCCTCAAATAGTCATTAGAAAGCTACTCTGCACAGGAGAAGACAATTTACATGGGGGAGACGAAGCCACATCCTTTTGCAAAAACCAGTTCCTGGGTTCTTTAGATCCCTTCGCCAAGTCCACCTCCAAATGGAATGTGCTTTGGTGGCCCTTAAAGCTGAGATCTCTTCCCCCTTCCTGCCCCACTGCACAGAAATGTAGGGGGAACATCATTATGAAGTGAAGACAGGAGCAGGGATGTATTTACAGAGGGATGGAAATTCTCCTTGGAGACTACCCAGGGATTAAAATGATCAGATAAGACATTGCCAGAAGGCAGTGGGAAAAGCTGTCATTCTAAAGGGAGCCAGGGAAGGAGCCTCTGGCTGAGAAATTTAAAGCAGGCTAGGGAACGTAGATGCATACGGGCAAGATTTAGGGGGGGGGGAAACACCACCCTTCAGCATGTTCCCAGAAATCTGGCCCTGACTTCTTTTGAAAAATGTGACTCATGGGACCTGATTTTCAGAAGTGCACAACACCTGCAGCTCCCGCTGGCTTCCGCTGGGGCTGCATGCACTCTTGGGGGTGGCGGAGGAATCAGACCAAACTCTTCCCTTTAAATTAATGGCAGGTGTGTCTAAATCCCCTAGGCTGCTCTGGACATAACACCCTGTGGGTAACATGTTCAAAAGCACCACGGTGATTTGGGCTCCTAAATCACATAGGTCATTGTCTTTCAATGGAACTGGGACTCCTAAATCATTTAGGTACTTTTGAAAATTTTAGCCAATGGCCCTGACTCCAGGCAAGCTTCTGGGTTAAAGTCCATGAGAGTTTGGATAGTGGAAGAACTGTAGGATTTACAAAGCTTTAAGACCCACTTCCTGCCTGTCCATACGCACAAAACACTCAACACCTGCTTGTAGGTTCTTCATCCCTAAACCAGTCAGGAAAGGGGGTAGGGGAGGCAGACACAAGCATGACATTGGATGTGGCTCTTAAGAGATGCCTGGACAAGCCTCATCCTTTTGGAAGAAAGTGACAGCACCACAAATGCACTTACACCGAGGATTGAGGCTTCCAGTCCATGTGCTTTGCCATTACCTGTGTATCCGTCACTACGCAGTCCCATTAGCTCCTGGGGTGACCGAAGGTATAGAAAATGAAGGGGCTGCCGCTTTTACCTAAACTTGGGCTCATGGCATGCAAGTTCCATAAAGTTGAAGACAAAAAAAAAAAATACCATTAAAAAATACTCAACCACATTTTGTGTCTGTTGTTTGCATTTTAAATTAATCTGGTCAATCAATAGAAAATAAGTATGTATAATTTTGTTTCCTATATACACATATATATTTATATATAAAATGGAAAGTCATGCCCCAGGGGTCCCTTCTAGGTCAAGGCGGATGCTGTGCTGCCATTCACAGTCATTTTGCGCCCCCTGCTGGAGGAGGGTGGCATTTGGTGGCAGTTCGAGGTGCCATTGAGTATGGTGCCGGGGTTGGCAGGGATGCTTATCGTGGTGGTGTTGGAGCTGGGCGACCCGTGGGAAGGTGTGGCAGGGCTTGGCAGGGACGAGGAGGTGGCGGGCAAGGTGGCGGGGCTGTTGGCTTTGTCGCTGACGGATTCGCACTCGGATGCTCCGCTGGTGTTGGTGCATTCAGAGTTTGCAGGCTGGGACAGTTTTAGTCTCTTGCAAGCTGGCTGCACTCGGTATTTCAAAGGGAGAGGCCCATTCTACAGGGGGGAGAAGGGAGACAAAAAGCTGTTCACATGGGTGTTTTTAGAGACAATCACACGGATATCTACACCAATTAGTCTGGACATAGGTAGGGTAGCTGTAGCTGTCGGTCTCCGGATATTAAAGAAACAGGGTGGGTGGGATAATATCTTATTGGACCAGCTTCTGTTGATGACAGAGACAAGCTTTTGAGCCACACGAGCTCTTCTTCAGGTCTGGGACAGCAGTTTGGGTCTCAGAAGTGACGCTAAAGGGGGAGAGATTCAAATGTATAAAGGGGTAGCCAAGGGGCCTAATTCCCATTAGCTGCCAACAGGAGTTATGCATCTGACTGCCATTTGTTCCTGGGAACGTCGCCCCTAAAATCATCCGTGTAAATAAACTGACTTGACACCAGAGCGTGCTCTGGCCTAGCATTTAACTTCATGTTTAAAAACTCAACCTGGGCCCCAATTCAACAAAACACAGGCTTAAATCTGTCCCAAGTCCTCCGCTAGATCAGGGCTCAATTCAATACAATGATCGTCTAAAGCCCAGTTGTATTATGGCCTTGCTGTTGTGACTCCCGAGTTAAGTTTAATTCTCCTGAATTAACTGAGCTTTGTACCACAAGCTTATGTTGTAAAAGTCTCAAAATGGCAAACATCGAATCAAAATCTGAAGTTTAAGTACTCTATAAATTGTTCATGCTAGCGTATGCTCAAGATAGACATATACAGAGGAGAGGAATGGAGATACTGTTCCTTTTAAAAATAATGTATCAGTTTAAAAATCCTACTTAAACCAAATGCATGTCCTTACCTGTGCTGCTAATAATACCTCATTATTAAAACTATATGAATTTTTATTTACTTTAACATTTATGAATGTGTTTCCTCCCCCCACCCCGCCACCCATATTCCACTCTGCTTCAGCAATGTAAGTTGACTGGTCAGTTTCAATTCTCCTTATCAGTTTAACTTTAGGAGTTCTCAAGCTCTGGAACAAAACTCGAGTTCTGGTTGCAGAATGCTTTGGGCGAGTAGCGGGGTATGTTCAGCATCTAACCCAGATCTGTTTCATGTTTTGTTTTTAATTCAGGCATAGACTATTTCTATGAGCATTAGTCTGTTTAAAACTTTCCCCTTTCATGACCTAAAACTATGTGACAATGTAATTTTAAAACATTGCCATCCATCTATAAAATGCTTTGAGCTCTAGGAATTAAAAGCACTAAGTATTATTAAGAAACATCTGCAGGTAGGTTCTCAGTTCTGACAAACATTTTCAAAATATCTTGCCTGACAAAGTTTTTAACCCCCATCAGTATTACCTCAAAAGTTCTACCAAAGGACTGTGGCATTGTGTCATTAACTAACCATTTAAATGGTGGCAGGTTTCTGAGTGGTAGTTGTGTTAGTCTGTATCAGCAAAAAGAATGAGGAATCCTTGTGGCACGTTAGAGACTAACAAATAAATTAATAAATACATTTGTTAGTCTCTAAGGTGCCACAAGGACCCCTCGTTCTCTTAACCATTTAAATGGTTTGTTATAGGACGTTATGTTCTTTCTCCATAATACACAATCCATTGCGTCCCACAGGCTGGCTGGATATCCAAACTATGATCTAAGAATGAAGCTAGAGAGAAAAAACAGGACTGAAAGAGTCTGAAAATGTTTGTCTCAAATAAAATCTCAGTACTTGGATAGAATAGTGAAGGGCAGAATGAGTGAAATATTAAATTATGGGCACCAACATGCTTTCACTGGCTGTAATGGGAGATTTGCCATTTGGTTTCTCAGTGGGAAATGGATTGAATCTTACAGTCACAGTTGTCCCTTGACTGCACTTTGTGTAGCCTTTTACCCCAGAATCGTGGTGTTCAACACCCACTAGTATGAATGGTTACACAAAGTGCAGGGCACTGATGATTCAGGCCCCATTGTGCAAGTGCACAATCCTTTGGCTATAGGATTTATTGTTTTGTTTTATTTTCATATGAATTTCCAGTGGCTCTTTCCAGGCACACCTGTAAAATTTCAAGTTCTAAGATGTCTTTCCAGGAACTGAGCCAGTTGGCTCAAGAATTTAGATGTTCATGAAAGATTAAAAGCTAGTCTCTGGAAAAGATTTTCAGGCTGCCTTCCAGAAAAAAGTGATGAAGGATTCAGGAATTCAAATGAGATGCATCTTAAAACCCACCCACTAGCAAGTGGCAATGTGAAAAATATCCTACTGAAAACAATCTAAAATTTCCTAGCTGGTCTCTCAAGGAGCCAGGGCTTTATCATGTGAACTGTCTAGCACAGCCCTTAGACTCACATGCTTACCTGTTGAGTTCAGTGAGACTCCCCATTTGCTTAAAGTTAAGCATGTGCTTAAGCCCCCACTTCAGGAAATGCGCACATATTCAAAATGTGTTCCTATTCTGGAAAGCACTTGAACAATTCAATAAAAGTAGGAGATGGCAAATTCAAAAGTGATGAAAGGAAATAATCTTTTCACAACCAAACAGCGGAACTCATTGCCATATGATGTCATGGTGGTTAAAAACTTAGCAAGATTCAAACAAGGACTAGATGCTTATATAGATAACAAGAACAGATAAAATAAGTAGGTAGTTTCTCTTCCAAAATATATATTACCATTAAGAAGGGCTTAAATGCATCAGGATTTAAACCAATCTCTAACTCCTAGCAATTAGGGGAATTTTGTTCTTCTAAAGCATGTCCTACTGACTGCTGTCAGAGAAAGGATATTGGACTAGATTAGATCTGTGGCCCATCTAATGAGTCTGTTAGGAGAAAAAGGATGTTCCAGATGTTAGACCGCAAACCTAGGACCCAGGTTCAAGACCCTGCTCTGCCACGGACTTTGTGTGTGACCTTGGGCAAGACATTTAATCTCCGTGGGCCAGCTTTACAAAGGTATTTAGGTGCCTAAGTCCAGATCCTCAAATGGCGATTCAGTGGTAGTGAGGCACCGAAATACATCTGTGGTTCAGTTCCCTATCTGTAGAAGGGGAATAACTACTTCCCTACCAGGGCTGCTGAGAATAAATCCATTAAAGATTGTGAGACCCAGCTATCACAGTGATATGGGCCAGATAAGTACCTTAGAGACAGAGGAGCTTAACCATGTCAATGGGACTACATCACTTCAACAGTACTTTTAACCCAGATCCTCACTGGTATTTGGGTGCCTAGCTCCCATTCATCTGGGTCCTTTTGAGCTTTCCTGAATTGGAACTGAAGCGCTTTAAAGACTCGAGCCACAAAAGGGGAAATCTAGAGCTGCTGGAGTTCATTTGAAATGATCACTAAGAAGGGTAACGTTAAACCCTTTTCCCCTTTAAAAAGCAAACAAACAACAGTTGATTTGTGCAGGGCAGCTATGTCTGGCTAGGAAGAGGGCGGTTGTTGAAAGTTCGCCCCTGCACCCCACCGCGGGCTGGGAGAGTGAATCAAGGCTCTTCGGAGCACCTGGTTCTAATTAAACGCTCTAGCAGAGAAAGCGTCAACAAGGGAAACATGGTTTTGGATGGATCTCGGTTTTCAAACCCGGTACTTTCCCTCCTTCCGATGCCCTTTTGGAAGTGCCAGCAACACCCCCGTTCCAGGTGTGGGGGAGCGGGTAATAGTCGGGACCTGGGTTTTTTTCCAGAGTTGCTGAACACAGCATTGCCAACACTGGGGGCAGGGGGAGTGTCAAAAATCGCAAGTCAAGCCCCCCAAATCATGAGATTTTTATAAACTGGATTTTGTTTGTTTGTTTTTTAATTTGCCTTCTGATTTTTTTCGTCTTTCATGGTCCCATTTTCAAGCTTTTATCCACAACCATGTTCTACAATGTAAAGTTCTATGGCCCATGTTATAGAGGAGGTCAGACCCACAATGGTCCCTCTACATAAGAACGGCCAGACTGGGTCAGACAAATGGTCCATCTAGCCCAGTATCCTGTCTTCTGACAGTGGCCAATGCCAGGTGCCCCAGAGGGAATGAACAGAACAGGTAATGATCAAGTGATCTCTCTCCTGCCGTCCGTCTCCACCCTCTGACAGACAGAGGCTAGGGACACCATCCCTGCCCATCTGGGCTATTAGCCACTAATGGATCTATCCTTCCATGAATTTATCTCGTTCTTTTTTGAAGGCCAAGACTATAACAGAGTTCACAACGTCCTCTGGCAAAGAGTTCCACAAGTTGACTGTGGCGTGTGAAGAAATTCTTCCTTTTGTTTGTTTTAGACCTGATGCCTATTAATTTAGTCAGGTGACCCCTCGTTTTTTGTGCTATGAGAAGGAGTAAACAACACTTCCTTATTTACTTTCTCCACACCAGTATCATTTTATAGACCTCAATCATATCCCCCCCTTAGTCATGTCTTTTCCAAGCTGAAAATTCCCAGTTTATTAATCTCTCCCCATATGGAAGCCGTTCCATACCCCTAATCATTTTTAATTGCCCTTTTCTGAACCTTTTCCAATTCCAATATGTCTTTTTTGAAATGGGACGACCACATCTGCACGCAGTATTCAAGATGTGGGCATACCATGGATTTATATAGAGGCAATATGATATTTTCTGTCATATTTTTATCCCTTTCTTAATGATTCCCAACATCCCATTAGCTTTTTTGACTGCCGCTGCACACTGAGTGGATGTTTTCAGAGAACTATCTGCAATGACTCCAAGATCTTTCTTGAGCGGTAACAGCTAATTTAGACCGAATCATTTTATAAAATCATGAGAATTGGCACGATTCTTAGCACCCTGCAGCTCCCATTAGCTGCAGCTGGAGTAGTGGGTGCCCAGCATGTCTAGAAAATTGAGGTCCAAGATATTTTTGGAAGAATAAACCTCCTTCTGAAACCTTTCCCCTAACTATTGTTATTATCCACCACTGAAAAAACACCCACTCATCACAAAAAGATTTCACTTGAAAAGGGGCTAAGTTATTGCCTGAAAATTAGTATTGATTAACTGGTATTAATCATTAGGAGTCTTGCAGTAGCATCTATGGACTTCAACAGAGATCAGGGCTCCCGTACAGCTAGGTGCTGTACGAACATAGAGAGAGAAACCCAGTACTGAAGACTCAGACTTAAGGTCAGAAGGGACCATCATGATCATCTAGTCTGATCTCCTACACATTGCAGGCCACAGACCCTCACCCACCCACTCCAGCAATAGGCCCATAACCTCTGGCTGAGTTACTGGCGTCCTCAAATCTTGATTTAAAGACTTCAAGTTGCAGAGAATCCACCATTTGCACTAGTTCAAACCAAAAAGTGACCTGTGCCCCCACACTGCAGAGGAAGGTGAAAATCCCCCTCCCCCCCCCCCCGAGTCTATGCCAAATCTGCCAAGGGGAAAACATTTCTTCCTGACCCCAATTAGGGTGATCAGTTAGACCCTGAGCATGTGGGCGAGACCCGCCAGCCAGCCGCCGGGGAAAGAATTCTCTGTAGTCACTCAGAGGCCTTCTGCTCTAGACTTTAAGTTTTGGAAATGGGACACCAAGTGGACAAATGGTGGGAGGGGAAACAGAACAGGGAAGGGAAGTGACCCATGAAGCCAGGGCTGGCACCCGTGTCTCCTAGATCCCAGGCAATTGCCCTGCCCACTAGACCACGTTGCTTCTCAATAAATGACAAAGATACTTCCAGCACCGAAGAGGAAGTTTCTTACTCACCCTTCTCCAAGGATAGATATAGGCGATGTCCATAAGCGTGTAATATTCCTTTAAAGGTTCGTCTTCGTAGAGAACTTCCACCTGACAAATACAGACCACAGTGAATCTTTCCCCCTCCAGTGACCCAGGGGTCCCAAGGACAAAATAAAATAACTTGTTTCCCAATCCATGGTTGGACAGAAGGGGTCAGATTTCCTCTTCCACAGAGCTCAGCTCCCATTTAAGCATCTAAATAATCTCCATGGTGCCCCATTCCCACTTTAGACCAGATTTTCCTAAGAGCCCAACACCAACCGAGTTCTTTTGCGTTCTTTTGAAAATCTGGCCACTTACTTTGGTGCCGAAGGGGGCTCTAAGCTTCTTTTGAACATTGGGCAGTTGGGGGTGGAATTAACCATTGCTCCACACTTTGCCCAGCAAAATGAATGTAAACATGCTACCAAATCAGAGTGACTCTATGCAAAATGCAGTGAATCAGGTCCAATGTACCTGTGTCAGGTCCCCTCCTGGTACGAATCAGTGTCAGAATCATTCTGAAGAAGGCCCTGTTAGGTAGACTGGACAGGTGAGGGTGGTCTGGTGGACTGAGTTCTAACTCTCGTGCTAGCTTGCTGAATAGCTCTGGGCAAGTCTAGCCTCCCCCTGGGTACAGAATGAGGAGGCGGATGCTTATTTAAAAAGAGGGCTGCAAGACTTAATTAGCAAATGTTTGTACAGCAGGGTGAATAAGTGCTAAGTAGTATTATGACAACTGCCAAGTCTTTAAACAAGTGTGTGTTTTCAATAAGAGAAACACACAGTAAATCTTTGGAAAATCTGGGGAGGTCTTTGAGATTGGAATTTCCAGCACTGGTGCGGGGCCGTCAAGAATGCGTTTGGTTTTATTTGGGGGGAAAGGCGGAGGGAGGAGGTTCTCTGAGATACGCTCGTCTTTTGAAACAAACGGGGGCAGCGCCTCTGCCGGTGCAAATCAAGGCCGTTGACTTCAAATGGAGTAATGCAACTTGACGCCAGCTGTTCCTCTGGCCCCATTGTGGGCTGCAATCTTGGGTGGGGTCCTGAGGTGCTACTATAATGCCCATCAGCTAGAATATAGCTTTGTATTGCAATAGTGCCTCAGTCAGGGTCCCGTTGTGCACGGTGCTGCACAAACGTAACAAACAGGGGTCAGGCCTAAAGAGCTTAATAGCTAAGTACAGCCAACAATAGCGACATTGAAAGGAGAATGGGGACATGCGGTTTTTGAACCCAGCAAGGACCCCAGTTTGTATTTAGAATGAGGGGTGTAAGAAGGGACGGTCCAAAGCCAGCAGGCCCCAGCGACAAGGTTTAAATGCTCATACACCTTCCATGGATGTAATAAACGACCGTCCAAAGACAACCGGCCTAACAGGTGCTGCACCAGTGGGCACGCACTGCATGGGACCTTGACAGAGGTCAGCAGATCAAGCAGTGACCTAGGACCAGTTGCCGGTCGCTCGCTACTCACTTTGTACTTGCTGGGAACATCCATCTTATTGCGGAGAAATTTAGCCAGATGCATGACTGTCATGGCAGCAGGACACCGGAGGAACCTTACACCGTTCTTCTGGGGCCAGACCAGAGGGAAGGCAGGGGGAGGAGGGGAAGAGAAGAGCGTTACTGAGAGCCGAGCAGCTGGAACAGGAGAGGGGATGAAATACGTACAGGAGCAGCTGTAAATCTATCGTACACAAACAGAGCATGAAAGACCTGCAGGTCACACGCAAAGGGCTCTGCTGCAATCTATACTGTTCTGGTTTTGCAAGGCAAGGGTGGGGAGCAGGGGCGAGAGCGCCTCGCAGAGAAAACAGCAGCAGCAGAAAAATGCCTTCGACTGATTTTTAACTCGGAGGCCTCTGGGACATAAATGACTCACACCCCATTAAAAAGGACCAAAATAAATATCTTGCTAACTGGTTAGACTAAAAATCAGATCATTCGATCTCTCAAGGGCTGCACAATGTAAGCAGAAAAGCCCTTATGAGATAACCAGAGAACTAACGGTGTCTTTATATATTTATACAGAGACAAACCTATTCTACACGTGTGTCTGTGTGGATTTCCTCCTTACTAATATTTCAGAAGAAAGAGGAGCTCAAATTGAAATTCTCAGGATTAATAGTGCCAAACTCTAGAAAAAAAAATTATCTCAGATCATTTGCTCTAAGCACAGAGCTGGGAGCCAGGAAGTCTCGAGTTCTAACCTCATCCAACACGCTGTTTATGCCCTGGGGCAAGGTTCACTCAGGCCCTGGCCTAACAAAGAATTAGAACGAATTGTCCTTAAAGTTACAGATGTGCTTTGTGGGACTGGGAGCCTAAATTTCCTAAAGTGGCCACTGATTTTTGGATGTCCAGTTTAAGACATCTTGGGCCTGCCTTCCAGAGGGTGCTTGCGGTGCATAGGAATAGGATGGTATCCTTTTAAATAATTGGTGAGCTCTCTAATGATACTTACTGTGTAGTGTTTTAGTAGCTGCCAGAACCCAGTAAGCACCACAGAGTCTATATAGCTAATCCTTGCATGGGGTGTATATACAGCAAACATCATTATTTAGATGAATAGATTTTAAGGCCAGATGGGACCATTATGGCATCTAGTCTGACCTCCTGTATAATACAGGCTGGAGAATTTGCGTCTGTGTGGTTCCTTGATTGGTGTGTGAATAGCAAAGACCACCCCAGATTGTAGTTGAAATCAATAAAAGCTACAGGGCCTCAGTCCCTCTGAAAGTCAGATCCAGATTCTCAGATGGAAATCACTGGGAAGGAGGCATCTAAATACCTTTTGAAGATCTGGGCAAAAGGTCCATCAAGAGTTGGGCATCCAAAATTTGAAACACCCAAAGTCGCTGGCCCCCTTTAAAAAAGTGGGCCTTGATTTCTGCCCCTCAGATTTCCCACCCGTACCATGAGACTAATAGTTCCTACTTATCTGCCCCAACGCTTAGATGGGTCCTAGGCCTTTGCACCGCACCCAACCTTTGTAAAAAGCCATTTCTTGGAGTGAGTTTGATTCTTTATTTGGATCCATGTGTAAAACCCGGGGGAGGGCTGCAGACTGGATTATTGGGGCGGGGGGAGCAGCAGCTCAGAGGCCAGGGGAAAGAACTGATTATCTGTTGCTGTCTCATACCCCCTGCCAGAAGAAACAAAATGTGGCTTCCGTTTCAAGCTCTTTGGAACTTGCACAGACCCTAGTGCAAGCACTAGCGGCACTGCCCCAGTGCAGGAAGCATCAGGTGCCTTCTGCTACCTCCTTCCCAGTCCCTAGTATAATAACAACGCACTGACTGGGACCTCTTTTGTTTACCTGCAGGTCTCTTTAAGCGATCAGCCTGGCAACACTTACTTTTTCCTTCTCCGCATCCCCGTTTTCAATCGTCCCTTTCTTTTCATCTCTAGGGAAGAAGGGACAGAATGAGCATTTTTGTAAAAAAGTAACAGAAAATAGAGTTGCCCCCTTAACCACGGAGAGGGGATATTAACCTCGCCAAGGCAGTCGTGACACAAGGGTTAATTTCCTCTCTGGATATGCGGTGGTGAAGAGGCATGTACCATCTAATCATCTGCAGCTAAGCCATAGAGCCAGTGGATAAAAGGCTTCGCGACTGCAATATGCTCTACTCAGGGCTTTGTTTTAGCTTGTGTATTGCAGCTACAATGCTCCACGCGGCTGACTTCAGGTCACATGACGAGCCCTCCATTCATAAGCTTAATTAGCCCCTGCACATCCACAACACACCTGAGGCTCTCTAGTCTGTACACAGCCACTTTTAAGGGTATGTCTACACTACCCGCCGGATTGGCGGGCAGCAATCAATCCGGCGGGGATCGATTTATCGTGTCTAGTCTAGACGCGATAAATCAACCCCTGAGCGCTCTCCCGTCGACTCCAGTACTCCAGCGCGGCTAGAGGTGCAGGCGGAGTCGACGGGGGAGCGGCAGCCGTCGACTCCTTGTGGTGAAGACACCACGGTAAGTCGATCTAAGTACGTCGCCTTCAGCTACGTTATTCACGTAGCTTTAGGGTGACCAGATAACAAATGTGAAAAATCGGGACGGGAGTGGAGGGTAATAGAAGCCTATATAAGAAAAAGACCCAAAAATCGGGACTGTCCCTATAAAATCGGGACATCTGGTCACCCTATTCTCAGCGTTCTCGGTCTTTTTCACACTTGCTGTCTGGTCACCCTAGCTGAGAACAGTCTTCAGGATTCGATCCGTTCCCGCAAATAAGATCTTAGAGGTAGCCAGAAAGGGCAGGATTTTGACTCAGAACAGAAGGAGTTTAGCAACAGCAACAAAATCTTACCTCATTCCTTCGTAAAACTCTATGGATAAGCTGACAATTTCATCATCTGTCAGGTTCCCTTTGTCTTGTTCGGAAACTTCCCCACGATCCTCATTAGACCCATTGGGAACTACACAAGGAGCAGGAAGAGAGACGTTAAACCCCTCCCAAAATGTATTTAGCGTCGAGACAGAGAGGAGAAGAGAACAGAAAGGAAGAGACACTGAGTGGCTATTCCTGTTTGCAGACACTTACCGTCTGCCATGGGATAGGCTGCATAGAAGTCACGCCGTCTCTTCATTTCATCTGCAAGAGAAGATCAATCAAAGCAAGGAAGCGGTGAGAAAGAAAGAATAAAAAGAAAGGGAGAATAGAAGATCAAGTCCTAGTCTACACCATTTTTATGCTCAGTTGGGAGTGTGATGTTTTACCAATACAGTCATACCAGTATAAGCCTTCATGTGGATGCAGCGATACTGGTTTGAATGTGTCCTATATGGGGGCTAGTCTACACTACCGGATCGGCTGGTAGAAATCGATCGCTTGGGGATCGATTTATCGCGTCTCATCTAGACGGATAAATTGATCCCCGAATCGACGCGCTTACTCCCACCTCGTCAGGAGGAGTAAGCGCCGTCGACGGGGGAGCCGCAGCAGTCAATTTGCCGCCATCCTCACAGCGGGGTAAGTCGAATAGGATACGTCGAATTCAGCTATGCTATTCGCATAGCTGAATTTGCGTATCTTAAATCGATCTCCCCTCCCCCCCCTCCCCCAGTGTAGACCTAGCCTGGGATAGCTTATTCCCCCTATGGAAATAGCTACACCAGGATAAGCACCTTTATCCCGATATAACTGCGTCCACACTAAAGCAGGTTGTACCCCTGTAACTAACCCGGTATAGTGAAAGGGGTGCAACTTCTGTGTTTGCACAGGGCATAAGGGTGGCAATTTCACAAGCCCTTTAACCCCACTTCTGATGACGTAAGGGGATCGACTTCAACAGGAGCAGAGTTGGGCCAACACAGAGCATCACACCCAAATCATCCCCGTTATTACTTGATTTGATTATTGCTGTCTGTATCTGTACCTTTGAAAAGCCCAGGGACTAGTTTGTATACTATGTCTTGTAAGGTTTTGTCAGACCTGAAAGACACAAATAAGAATTAATCAGGGAGGGTGAGTGTAGTTATTTCCGAATCCATTCCAGTCACCTGTCTGCATTCTCCAGCCACACCAAAAGAGAGCACCTTCCACTCCTGGGCAAAAGACCGGCACAAGGCTTATGCACCATTTAAGCCCTCAAAACAGGGCTTACATGGGACAAATAGCGCACAGACATTGCACGGGTCCTTTGCAAAGGAACACAGTCGGATGAATTCAAGACCACGCTGTACCGGCTCTGCGCCAATTTGAATATTGCTGGTAAAACTCCTATTGACTTTGATGTATGTGGACACAGGTTGCAAGTAGCCTTTGGGAAGTCATAAACCCATTGCATATTATTGGTATCCCAAAACTTGGTGCTGAATGGTGCCAAGCACCTGGCAGGATTGAACCCCTAGTCCTTAATATGGCCATGACTGACATTTCTGACAACACAGCTGGGTATTATGCAACTCAGATGGAGAGGGAAGCAAAAGAGAAAGGAAAATGACTAACCATGCAAATTCAGAGTCTGATCCAAAACCCAATGAAGTCAAACAGGGAAGTCACTTTGGCTCTGGCCCAAAAAGAAGGGCTATGTCTCTAGTTCCAAGAACAAATGGGAACATCAGGGTCACTGATCATATCTCAAAATTATTTCTATAATCTATTAAAAGATACCTCGCTCAGATATAGGGCTTCTCATGTTTAGCCCCTGCCATCTGAAGCTCTCAACATGCTTTGCTAACCTTTGTGAATCAAATCTCCCAAGACCTTCATGTGAGGCAAGCGGAGATCAGTGTTCCCACTTTACAGATGGGGAAGCCAAGGGAGAAAGAGATTATGGCTAAATTTTTGAAGTTCGTGTGCCTAAACATAGACTTCGACTGACATGCAGTGAGAGCTGTGGGCACCTCTGGGAAAAGTTCAGCCACCTTGTTTAAGAAGTAGTTTAGGGATCCACCCTAGAAATGTTTGGTCTAAGGCCCAGATCCTCAAAAGGTATTTAGGTGTCTAATTTGCATTGATTTCAATAGGAGTTAGGTTACCCGCATGACTTGAACAAGTTTTCTTCCAGACGCTGACACAGATTTCCCACGCCCTTCTGATTCCCAAGTCTATGCCTCAACTCCCCGACTCTGATAAAAATAGAGAGAAGACTGTGGATTTGATTCTCATTCACAATCCAGGCCCCTTGCCGCTGCTAAAGTGGTGTAAAGGGGCCCTAGTGCCAATGAAAATCGGGGTCTGATTGGACAAGGATGCAAAGATATGGTGGTAGAGTGGCTAGCATAATGGCAGGGGAGGGAGGGGTTGTCTGGGACTAGTAGCTACTGCAATGCAAATTATAAAGTAAGGTCTGGGTGATATCTCAGAGCTTGGAAGATCGGTGCAATTCTAGCCTGCTGCTTTGTGTCTGTCTGTATGTTGGCAGAGTGCATCTCCGTCTGGGTCTGTGCACACATTCAGAGATATTTAACAGAAAGGTCTGTGGGAGTTAGAGTGTAAATATTTCACAGGGAACCAAAAAAAAAAAAAGAAGTGTTACTACAGAAACGGATTTACATGGAAGAGCTAAAAAAAGCCCCTAGTGATGTATTGCAGCCTTAATGGTTTCTATGCCAACCACCTGCCGAGCTAATTCTACAACTGACAAGACATGTCTGGCTTCCCCAAACCCAGACGAATAGGGAAGGAGCGAAGCCGGCATAAAGCATGCACCAAGCGTGGGGGTTTGACGGCATTGGTTTGATCCTAGTGGTTCTGGGCATGGAACAGGGGTCTGGAAACCACCCACCCACCCACAAGAGTAGCGGCTGAGACACAGCCAGTTGCATGCTCACACAGAATAACCCTCCGCTGGGAGAAGAACGTATCGTTCCAAGGCAAATGGATCAATGAATTATAAACCACAAGCGGGTTCGGGTTAAATTTCTCTTGTCGTGGCTTCAAAGCCTGACGGCTGCGGTCCAGGCACTGTCTAAAGATGACCTCAGGTACTCGGTCCAAACTGACAGAGGATGTAACTCCCATTGTGCCTTTCCCTGCTAATGAATCATCCCAATCTCTTTACAACATCCTTAAAGGGGGCTGGAAAATTCAGAGACACTCCTGGTCCTGTCTGTTCCATCATGACCCTTGTCTTCTGCCCTTCCAGCTCAGAGCTCATTGATATTATACAACACAGAGAGTGGGGCCCCATTACATTAGGTGCTGCATCTGGACACTGGAAGCTGTTGAGGTGGGACTATCTTGACATCACAGCCCTGTTGGGGCTTTGCTTATGATGTCAAACACCCCAGGAATGCCCATGATGACCTCAAACACAAAATAATGACCGGGGACAGAATTCCCTAGCCTGTGCAGCTGTTATGAGAAAAATGAAAATTAGGATGCTCTGATTCTGATCATGCCTTCCTCTCCTCCCCTGCAAGCATTCAAGGAGATAGGAGAGACTTTGGGTCAACATTCAAATAACCTACATACAGTAGACTATAAGGTGTCAGATATAGTCTAGTAGGCTAGTCTAGTAAACTAAGGCAGGGGTGCTGGAACAATTGGTACAGTGGGGGGGCTGAGACCCATTGAACCAAGCTGTAAATCCTGGATATAACGGAATCCACTTCAAGCCAGTTCCAGCACCTATGCTATAAGGTGTAAAACTGCAGAGCGCAAATCCTGTTCTTCCGGGGCAGGAGATTTCACTTGGCTTCAACAGAAGATACTTATTCTTTTTAGTAGAAAATAACCCTCTTGATCTTATAGACCAGCCACTGCAGTGGCTGAGGGAAGAAAACCACAAGAGGTCTTTCCCAGCACAAACGTCTATGATTCTCTGCTGCATATGCCCGGAGTCAGCACACTAAGGTAGTTGTCTGGTGCCCATGTCAGTAGTATGTGAGCCCCTCACCATCTTTAATGGATTTATCCTCAAAACATCCCTGTGAGGTGGGGACGTGCTGTTGTCTCCACTGGAGAGATGGGAAACTGAGTCACGTCCAGACTAAGGCCTGGATCCTCAAAGGTAGATAGGTGCCTAACTCCATTGGGTGGAGGCCTTTGAGGCTCTGGGCCTAAGTGCCCAGACACAGGAAGTCTGTGGCAGAGCTGGGAATTTGATCCAGATCTCCTGAGTCCCACACACATGCCTAACTTTAAGTAAATTAGTCCCATTGGAGACAATGGATTACTCACATGCTGATGGTTAGGAACATACCTTGCTGAATAAGGGTCAGAATTACATACAGAGACCTCAGTTTTCCAAAGCAAATAGTAGTTTGGTGCCCAGTTTGGGGGGCGGGGCTTTAAAAAGGGACCTCGTTATTTGTTAATTCTGTGCATCCACCTTCTGGAAATCGGGGCCCCTTCAGGCATCCCACGCCCCTCTCAAAAAAAAGTAACAGATGCACCCAAAAATCACGATTAGTGGCTCTGGAAAAGTTAGGCCAAAATATCCATCTCCCAACTGCAGCAAAGCAGGGAGGAGAATTTCCTGTGACAGTGGGGCTCGGTGACGTGCTACAGCCGAAATCCAGAGCCTGATGCTTCCCAATGTCTGTGTTATCGGGGGTGGGGGGCAAGAACCAGAACAGTGAGATCCCTCACCTGATGCTGAGCAGGGGCCTGGTTTTATGCACCTGGACATCACACATGGGACAGTATTTGTTGGTCTCCAGGTAGCGGACGATGCAGGTTTTACAGACTAAAGGAAGAAAGACAAAAAATAAATTGGGTGAAATCAACATATAGACTCACGGGGTGAATATCACTCCTGGGCAAAGGGTCAGCACAAGGCCTAGGCACCACTTAAGCACAAGGTATTAAGTCTCACTTCAGCTCCATTTATATCCTGCTTAAGAGGGACATAAATGGTGCCAAGCAGGATATAAGTGGTGCATAACTTGCCCTGGCCCTCTGTACAGGGCTGGCTTTGACCCACAGGGGACAGGCAGCTGCTTAGACATTCTGGGCAAGATAATTTTTTACCCTCACTGATTGGAAAGTAATCAGTGACTGCTTCCATTTAATCCACCTGTTAGCAGCCATGTGTCAATGAGAGGGGGATCCCACCAGTAGGGGCTATTCCACATTCCCCTCTTATCAAGGGTTGGTTTCCCTTACACCTTGCTTCTCTCTGCAGGTATATTAGAGGAATTGCTAGATTGGAGCAGACCCAGGGTCCAGCTAGTCTAGGGCCTTGTCTTTGAACAGCGGCTGGAACTAGATGCTTTAGAGGAAGGTAGACGAACCCAAAAGCAGGCAGATATGGGATTATCCGCCTCACACACACAGCTCTCATTCTGATCTCTAACCGTGAGAGATTGCCTTAAGCCCTGTATAGGAAATATGGTAGGATTCTAGCTTCACCACCCCCTCCCCAATTCACCTCAAAATTATTGAGCGAGTAATCGGAGGCCAAGAGTGACTAGGGGTTTGGGGTGCTTCCAATTTGGGGGGGGTCTCACATGACAAGGAGGCCCTGGTTTCCAGAAAGGGAGAGCTCTGCTCTTCCTGAAAAACTAGCATCAGGCCTCTTTAAGGTATCTCAATTTAGGCACGCGAAAATCACTAGCCACTTCGGAAAAAGCTTGGCCCATGGAGTTATATTCAGGTGAGCAGCTGGGGAATCTCTCATCACCACCAGCTGGCTTCTGGGCTGAACACCCAAAAAGGAGATCTGCCTGGTGGCATGAAAGAAAAGAGCATTTCATTGGGAACAGCGGATTTCTCCGGCTTTCCCCCCGGTACAGAGGAAACTTACAGGAGTGTAAACATTCCACTATGGTGGTTGCATCTATGAAGTAGCCGCCACACAAAGCGCACATCAAGTGGGGATTCAGCTCGGTGATCTTTATCCTGGTGGTTCTGTGCATTTTGGATCCGGGCCTCAGCAGATCCTCTCTGGAAACAAACACACACACACACCCCGAGGATCAAGTTAGCGGCATCTACAGGGTCATCACCCCTCCGGGAATATTACAGCAACCAGAACCAAGTCATCAGCTGGAACTAGTGAAGGCAACATTGCAGAAGCAAATGGCTCAGTAGGTTACAAACCACAGGAGTCTCTGGTTTTAGGATTTATTCCCCCTCCCCCCCCACACACACACCTTGTAATCTGGGTTTTGTGGTCAGGCCTTGCAAAGCATCTGAAATTGCAATAATACAGAGAGCAGGATGGAGGACTGAGTATTTGTATTTTAACAAAACAAAACACCTCTTTTTCAGCCCCCATAGAGTCCGACTGGGATGGGCAGCACCCTTTCCAAATGTAATCTTGTTGATGAGCCTAACTGGTTATGGGTTTGCACAGTGCCTAGCACATAGGGGCCCAGAACTGGTTGTGGTGTTTGGGTGCTACCACAGTATAAATGTAAGATAATAATAATACTCCTGGGGGACGATATAACTCACCTAGAGTATTACAATCTGGCCCATAGTGATCCTACAGCTTACATTACATAACGAATCTCTCTTTTTACTCCCAAATCCTGACCAAAACACATACAAGATAAAGAATTGATTTAGTAATGTGGTTTTATTTTTTTTTAAATGGAGACAAATCAGTTCAGAGAATACAACAGGCAGCACAGCTGCGTCTAAAGAAGGGATGCGCCTAGTACATCTGAATAGATTTGGGTAGTAAAGGAGGTAAGAAACCGACACACCATGCAGATTTCATAGCTGCTTCCTTAGGTTTAGCCCTATTATTTCTGCCCACCTTTGAAACACACTAACACACACAGCCCAGTTTTTCCACTCCGGATTATGCACGTGTTGTAGATGCGAGCATGGAGATTATTATAGGAACACTTTTTTATGAAATGGAGACCCTTAACAGGGAATGCCCCAAACCCCTCTAAATTATATATTTAAACAAAAACCAAAATCGAGAGCCTCCTTGCTCATCATTAGCTAACAATAAACTCCTCCATCCCCAATAGTCTCCTCCAAGTGGAGCTCTGCCACCAAAGTCTGGATACACACTCCCTCCCTCCCGGCCTCTTTCTCCCTCAGCTGTAGCCCATTACAGGATCATCTGTAATCAAATTATGGCCAAAGCAAGTCCTCCTTTTGGCTGTGCTACTTGGGCAAACCTCAAGGAAAGGGAGAAGAAGAAGAAAGACGAGCAAAGTCTGCAGCCTGTGAGGAGAAGGATCACATTTCAATCCTACCCAACTAGGAGCTGCACCAGCTTCACCTTGGCTGCTGGCTATCCACATGTCCTCTTCAATTCTTCCCCATCCTGCTGCTGACACCAGATAACAAAGCCGAGGGGAGATTCCACTTTCTTTCCTGGTCTTGCCCCCAATCCCCATCCTCCACCACGCCCCACACCCACTCCCAGCCCCCGCTCCCTCCAGCAATGCAATGGGCCGGAACAAATCAGATAAATGGTCTAATTGAACATTAACATGCAACTCATTAAACGCACAAGCCCAGCGAAAGCCAGACGTGAGAAGCTCGGCTGAGGACTGCTTTACGCGACCTATGGGTACCTGCGCGTACAGACCGGAAGGACAGGCGTGTCAGACCCTATGACACACATCACACATCCATTTCTCAATGAACACTACAGAGGCACATAAGCAATACGCAGAGAATAGACACCACCCAATACACCTCCAATGGGCGTGTCTGGGTGCATATGAATCATCTGCGCTCACACAGAAGTTCACATCTTCAAAGCACTGTAATATTATACACACAGGCATAGTGCAACCTCCATGACATACACATTCATAGTGTGCCTCTGTCCACCCATACCGAGGATGGATACACGACAATTGTGTTCTTTATGCCTTATTTTGTGATCAGTGTGTGTCTATATTTTACATTATCATATTGGTACAGTACTTTGAAGATGTAAACGGATGTATAACTGCAATACACACACACACACACACACACACACACACACACACACACACATAGT